ATCGGCACTTAGCTTATTACGCAAGCGAGTAATACAAGATGTCCGAAGTACTTTAAAAGTATATAAAAAAAAATTTTATGTATTGTGTAACGTTAAACGACGATCTACATATGGGGCACTGTCCCTGCTGTTCCCATATATACTGTACTATGAAGGTTGATGCCAATCTGGTTTTAAAAAATAAAAGGAATTCAAGGAATTCACGTAATTCTATTTAATTTCAAAAACTTTTGACGAAATCGTTTGAAATTTAGATTAAATTTAATGTCACTTCCAAAGCCTACAGTATTCAAAATAACAAACCATGATGACTCAACTACTCGTCGTTTCACCATGCCAACACCCACTCCATCGTGGGAAGAACTTTCGACGAAAATACGACAAATCTTTGAAATTCCAAAACAAACCCGAATTAGTCTGACGTACTTGGACGAAGAAGGTGACGTTATTACTTTTAGTTCGGAAGCTGAATTACAGGATCTTTATAATGAAAGAGAGTGCTCGATGCAAGAAAATCATGGAGAACTGATTAGACAAGAAATGACAAATTTGAGACAAGAAAATAATCCTACTATCGCTATAGCAAATAGTAATGCTAGAAAATTTGGCCTAAAGATTTATGTAGAAAAGCAAATTATTGAGGATGTAGAAAAGCAAATTATTGAGGATGAATTTGAGGATAGGAACAATTGTGCACAACAATAAAATCGATTGACACAATTCATTCCATTTTTTATCTATTAAGTTTCTTTACGCGATGACTGTTAGTTTTTTTCGAAATGTAAAATTTTTTGCCTGTATATCGCCTAATTACAAACAATAGGGGTCATTTGAACTATAATCCTTGATGTTTTTCTTTATTTAGTTGTTTAAATTATTTAAATTCCAATTAATAATTTCTGTTATAAATAGCTATGTGATAGACCCATTATTGGCAATTAACACATCGTTCAGTAATGGTAATTGTTATCTTTAGAAGTTTGTTAACAAAAAAAGAAAAATAAAAAAAGAAATAAATAAATATATACAAACTTTACCGTTACAGTGTAAACATATAAACATACAAACATTACGATAGCATAAATATCAACTTTTTTTAAATTTAAATTTCAAATATAAAAAAGTTTTTTCCTTTTTTTTTTTTTTTTTTTTTTTTTTTTTTTTTTTTTTTTTTAAAGAACACAATAAGTACGCACGTACGTACAACAATAATAGTTTTATCAGTATGAGCCTAAATGTGTAACGAAAAACTTAACTCTAAACAACAATGGTTACAACATTTCGTACGTCGTACGTACGTAATTATTGTACCAATACTTAATTATAATATCGGTATGATATGCGAGAATACAATAATATTAAATGAAGTCAATTGAGTGGATGCTACAGTCCATCTTGGTTAAAAAGACCGATCAAGTCCATAAACTGTTCTACTGAACCAGTTCTAGTTCAAGGCCGGTTTGTTTCGGCCAGTGTAAAATTCAGACATGCTGCTGGCTCTACAATATATAATGAAATTGCTTTGTGAAAAAGATTCGATACCCAAATTGTGTCACAAACGGAATCTCACCTACATCTTTTAAGTATTAATTAATTTGCCTACACGGGGTGGGCCGAAGTTTAAATTTAGTAAATCGTGGGCCAGATGGTCAAAAACGCGAGCCAAACTTTCAAAAACCATAATAAATTTTATTTTGCGAGCTGTAAGTTCCCAATTTATGGCTCGATTCAATTTATAATTGTAAAAATTAGTTGTGTAAGAATTTAATATTTTTTCTTAACGTTAAAATTTAATGTAAAAACTAATCAAATATAAATATATTAAGTAATGTTATTGTACATATTTGTGTCCTTTATACCTGTGGCCGGCCATTTCGGCCACTTGGCAAATGTTCAAAGCAAAGTTATCAATAATTTGTATGTGTGATAGAAATTAGGCCTCATCTAGGTTAAACCAGATCCGCAGAACCTTATGCAAGCCTTTTGGATATTTCGGCAAAACTTTTTGATATTTCGGTATACTCTGGAAGTTTCGGCTGTATATTAGCGGATCTGGTTTAAAATTATTGTTAACTTTGCTTTGAACATTTGCCAAGTGGCCGAAATAGCCGAAACATTTCGGCCACATGAATACAGTTATGATAGACTGACTTATCATTATTAAAACCGGGAACCACTTAACTACAGTTTTTGGTGTGCACACGTGATCTTGTCAATAAGACTTTGATACATCGAATAAATAATCTTATTAGTGATGCTGAACATGTTAAATGTATAGGACTAGCTAGGGATTGGAACCGCCTAAAATTTTTCTTAATCGTTTAATCGTTTAATCGTTTAACCGTTTAACTTGGCCGGCATT